GACTACAAACTTGGTATCCTGTTGTTTTTTCATTATACTACTGCTATTCAAGGAGACAAAATTTGGATAATTTTCTGAAAATTCAGAGACACTAAATGTTTTTCTTCATCCATATATTTATTTTTTCAGGGGACATGAATTCTAATTAGTATATTTCTTTGGTTGATCAGCACTCATCAAGCTCTGTCCATTTACTCATTTATTCTGTGTGCCTGAATTTTTCCCAGAGATGATTTAAAAAATTATGTTTTAAGCATTCTTAAACAGCTTTCTTACCTCGGAAGTTAATACGGAATATGTGTGTTTGTCACTATAGCACAGGCTCTGCTCATCACCCTGCCATTGTTAGGGAGAATAGAATCTTGGCTGACCTCTTCCAGAGGTAAAAATCCAGCCTTGGTGGGAGCAGCTGGGACTGTGAAAGAAGCTACAAATAACATGCTGGGAACTCAGCAGGCACTGTTATTATATCCTGTTTATACTGTCATTTTTCCTATCAGTAGGATATTATTTATACAGACCCCACCCATGAACTTCTTGTTTATCTTATTATAGAAATCCTCTGACTCTATAAAAAGAAACTTCTGTATTTGTTTTGGGAACAAGTACATGTGTTATAATTTTGCACCTCATTACACTTTTTATTTAGCACTTTCTTTTGTTATGCATCACTTACTCTCATTTTATTTCAAAGTTGGCTTATTTCACATATCAGAGTTAAACAACTGACTTTAAGAGAATCTGTTATAGGGTAAGATTCTGGAATACCACATCCTGTACTTTATGTGGGGGTGGATTTCATCAGGTAGATATTCTTCTAAGATATATTTGACTAACTTGTTTAAAGACAGGAAAATGTGTCTATATACTGATCAGGTCCTCCAGGGAGGGAGTGCATCGGGGTGACCAGAAAGCCTCCTTACCCAGGCTCACTCTATCCTAGGTGGACTGATTATGAGGGCCAGACTTCATTAGGGTCTCACCAACTTGCTACTCTTAAGTAGAATCTCTTCTTTACAATGAGAAGCCTTGCCCCTGAGTTTAGCTTGATGGCTGGACATGCTGGGTGAAAAATATAACCCAATTCATAATACAAGAGAAACAGAGGAATTTAGTAAGTTGACCAACAGGACAATGAACCAACCTGGTTACCAATCATCCTCATTACCCCAGCCTTATGTAAATAGTGAAGTAGATAAAAGAAAAATGCAAGTTCCTTTTAAGGGCAAAAAAATCATGCAGCATTTGTTAAACAAATGATAATTATTTCTGGAGAGAGCATATCACTGAACAAAGTGACATTGGACAATTTTTCTTTCCCATGTCTAGCTTGTGTTAGCATCACTAGTACTCCTCTTGCACAAAATAGCAGCTCTATAAGGCAGGTAGGTAAACAAATGTTCAGAGTACGTGTACAATGCTAGAATCTTTGAGGATATATAAGACAAGGTCACTGACTTTAAAGAACTTTACTCTAAAATGCATAACTGATATGAGTATTAAAACTTAAGGCAGTGAACTAAGTATAATTAATTTTTTTTAAAAAAGGGGTATCAATGAGCTAAAGTGGTCAAAGAAGTTATAAAAGAATGAGGACAATAACTAAGATAATCTTGCTAAGTAGAAACTGATTAAGGCTGAGATGAGGAGGTAAAAGGCACCCGAGGCACAACCAACAATTTGGAAACATCCAAGTGAACAGAAACCTGGAAAATTTTAAGTTAAACCAATAAATAATTATTCAGTAGTAGTATTCAGTTGGGGATATGCTGAACAGAAGATGGCAATGAAAAAGGAGGCTGGAGATAGATTATGAGAAATTTTTAGACAAGAGTGAACCATTGGATTTCTGATCAAGGGAAGATAAACTCAAGCTTTTGGAGTGGAAAGGAAAAGGAGAAAGAATAAGTGGGGGGAAGACTGAAATGGAGAAAGTTTTTAACGTTATCAAATCCCATAATTATGGCAGGAAAAGGAAGGTCCATATGATACAACAGATAATAAATGTGTAAATACATTTTCAACTCTTGCTTTCAAAAACCAAAAATGTGGCATCGTGATTAGTGAGGCAACGTTCCACAATTCAAATCCACTGAAGTTAATGTCAAGAAAGTTCATCCATCTCCTAGAATCATACCTCTCAAACATAAATCACCTGGGCTTTTGGTTAAAATATAAATTGTTTCAGCAGATTTAGGGTGGTACTCAGTATTTCTAAAATTCTAACAAGCTCCTGGGTGATGCCAATACTGCTGTTCTACAGACTGTATTTTGAATAAGAAGATGTGAAAACATATCTTTCAGTTTCCATTTTCTAAAAGGCAATACTATAGTTGATGTATCATGTCTAATCCATGGTATATCTGATGCTTTTATGCCTAAGAAATGGTTTTTAAAGGTTTTATAACTTGCATCATTGTTGGATGGGTTTCAGAGTTACTATTTTAAAAATCCAAGATGATTCAACATTCAGGGTACTCAACATACTTAGTAATACTTCCACCTGAAAAAGTCAACTTTATGTTTGTTACTCATTAACTAAGGTGACCAGATTATAACATTGGTAAAGTGGGACACCATTGACAGGGGTGGGGGGGGGGTTCTTAATTAAAAATTTGGTCTATATGGAGCAAGAAAAATTTTCATAGAATGCAAAAATAGTACTGTAATATATATTTTTTGAATTTCAATATAAGTACAATTTACAAATATAATGCATTAAAAAAAATTATGTATAGGGCAGAGCCTGTGGGCTCAAAGGAGCAGGGCTCAGGTCCACTTGGGCGACCTTGCCCAGGAGGGGAGTAGGGAGTTTACATTAGCCTTTTCATTTCCAAATAAAGTTGCATTAACCTCTTCATTCCCAAATGGAGTTACATTAACCTTTTCAGCAGCTGAAAACCGTATATTCCCTTCCCATTGTCCCACCGTTCCCTAGCTTGTCATGCATTCTTTCCAAAAATCGGGATTTTTTAAAAATGCTGTGGGACATGGGACAAACTTAAAAATCAGGACTGTCCTGCCAAGAGTGGGACATCTGTTCACCTTATCTTTAACACTACAATTTTATTTTTTGTTTTTTAGGCATTTAAACTAGAAGATACTGTTGCTTCTAGTCACAGAAGCTGAAGGATAAGCACTGAAAAGACAACACTCCATCTTTCCATAGTCCGCATCAGTGAGCTTCAGTAAAACCCACTTAACTTGGCCCTTAACCCTGCCTGAAGCACTATCATTTATTCCTCAAAGATAAAGGACAACAATTTTTTCTTTTTTTGATACAGAGTCTTACTCTGTCATGGCATCAGCCTAGCTCACAGCAACCTCAAAATCCTGGGCTCAAGTAATCCTCCTGCTTAGCTTTCCAAGTAGCTGGAACTATAGGCATCTACCACAATGCCCAGTTAATTTTTCTATTTTTAGTAGAGATGGGGTCTTGCTCTTGCTTAGGCTGGTCTTGAACTCCTGAGCTCAGCAGATCCACCTGCCTCAGCTTCCCAGAGTGCTAGGATTATAGGTGTCAGCCACTATGCCTAGATGACAATAATTTATTTTAAATATCCTATTGAAAAATACCTAAAGACTACAACAGTTAAATCCACATACTATCCTTCAGTATAAGACTTACACACAGAAGGACATGCCTTTAAGTATATTACCATGAACAGAAGTGTCATTTATAAAAATATATTACTAGTGTAATATATCTCATATATATTATACAAGATTGGCTGATCTCAGATATTTGGGATAAAATTTAAGACTTATAAAATCTGAAGTTTCATTTTTAACCAAATTAATGGTAAGTAACAGCCTTTCAGGTAAATTAGCTTCAATATGTATTTCTGTCGACACAACAGAAATAATTTAAAATTGAAAGGTACTCTTGAAGATTAGATCCAAGTACTTCGTTGTAGAAGTAAGGAAATTGAGACACAGAGGCTGAAAAGCTCAAAGTCATACAGTTTGCAAATAGCATGTTAATAAAAGGAGGGGTGAATTAATTTTTATGTCCACCAATGTACAAAGTATAAAAATGTAAAACTATAAAATGTAGGTGAAAGAGGTTCTGGTTCCTCTAATGCAGTGATTTCAACCAGTGTGCTATAGCAGCATACTGGGGTGCTATAAGAGAATCTTCGGTGTGCCACAAAAATTTTTAAAGATCATTAAATTATTTTTGAAAGAAGTTCAAAGCACAGTAAGTATATTCCTTTTTTTACTCCATTTCTTTTGGATCAACACAATTTACGTGTGCCACAAAAGTTTAACCTTTCATGAGATAAAAAAAAGGTTGAAAAATACTGCTCTAATGAGTAAGGCACAGTTATTTTTTCAAGGGTCTTATAAACTATTGAGATCCACATACTAACAAAGAAAAGACATGCCACTCCCAAATTTAAGAACTTCATAAAAAATGCAATCTGAATAGAGATGACACATATACACCAGATACTGGGGAAGGGGTTGGATGTGGGTGGAGAATGGGATGGTATATAAAGAACAAAGAGAAGACAATGGTACCTCTTATCTTCTCAGGAATGTTTTAAGGAAAGCTTTTACATACAGAAAAATGGTTAAAAAACAAAACTTTCTTTTCCCTCATGAATCATTTTTTAACTGGTGAAATTGGGGATTATATTTGGAGGACTGCAAAGCTTTTAAAAATAAGAAATGCAGATAGCTGTTGGATGTGCCTGTGTCAGAAGCTCTGTTAACAATTAAAAGAAAACTAGAGGAACTCTATTTTAGCCATAAAATAGGGAATTATGTGCTTATTACAAATGCTATAAAATTTACTAGTGCAAGTAAAAAAGAAAAAAATCACTGGAGAAGTTCCGTGACACTGCAGACAATGGGCTTTAAATCACAGGCACACGTTATCATGCCTAAGTCGACAGATCTGCACCGCAATGCAGAAGTGCGAGCAATATCCCAACATCTGCACCAGAGGCAGAGATCAGACAGGATTCCAGAATAAAGGGCTCTTTAGCTCTTACCTGTTACCTGTGCAACAACTGCTTGGGAAATCCTCCGATTGGCAAGAAAGGCTTTGATTTCCTCTTTTATCACACTGCTGTCCCTCCTAACAAAAACAGAAGACAAGACCAACAATGTATGTTGAAGGTAGAAATCCTCATCTTTGCTAAAAGAAAGGTGAAGCAGAGAGGTGAGGAGAACACAGAAAGAACGAACACAAAAATAAAAGATAAACAGACCAAACTTGTGTGAAAATATGAAACCACAACAAGCCAAGAAACACCAAATATTCAGGTCCTAAACATCACACCATCAGACAAACGCATCAGTGACGACCACAGCAGTTATGAGTCTCATACCAGAGGATGATTAATCGCATGCTCTGTATAATTCACATTAGGAACAAGGCTGTCATATGGTATATACAAAGTTTCATTACTGAGGAATGAATATATCTTACACAGACAGAAATCCTAGAAAAATAAAAAGCAACAACAAAAATCAGTTGTGAGCTGTGGGTTTGCATATTAACTAGGCAACTGCATAACTAGTGTTCATTTAAAAAACCTTGAAAATAGTTAAGGGAATAAAATTGCCACTTTCGCAACTGTAAAATATTAGCCATTTTAAGACAGACTTTGCCCTTTAACTTGCCTTATTTTTCCAGTATAAACAATAAATTAAGATCAGATGTGTCGAATGTAAAATCTTAATATTAAAAAAAGGATTTATTGGGCCAGGCACAGCAGCACACACCTGTAATCCTAGCACTCTGGAAGGGCAGGGCAGGTGGACTGCCTGAGCTCAGGAGTCTAAGATCAGCCTCAGCAAGAGCAAGGCTTTATCTCTAATAGAAGTAGAAAAACTAGCCTGGAGTTATGGCAGATGCCTACAGTCCCAGCTACTCGAGAGGCTGGGGCAAGAGGATCATTTGAGCTCAAGAGTCTGAGGTTGCTGTGAACTAAGACACCATGGCAATCTAACAAATGTGACAAAGTGAGACTCTGTCCCCCCCCCCAAAAGCATTTATTGTTTTCCTATTACATATAAGAATATTTAATACTAAGTACTACACTATATTCTGTCTCTTTGGAATTATATTATAGTCTTCATCTTTCTTCCACTAAAACACCTATTATAAATTTTTACTTACTTAAAAGCTCAACAAATTCTCAAAAGACCAGACATTCAGGAGAATGACAATGAGTGCCGAGACTTTGGTTTTTTCACAAGAACAAGACTATTTAAACAAATATTATACTTAAACCCTTAAAACTGACTGATTTCTCTTTGAATGCTTTATCTTCAAATGGATTATACAAATAAAGCACTGATTTTTGTTTAAGCTCAAAAGTAATACACAATAGTGGTTAAATTAACTTGTTATCTAACACAGGGGTCGGCAAACTATGGCTGATGGGCTAACTCCAGACTGCCACTTGATTTTATACAACCTATGAGCTAAGAATTGTTTTCACAGGTGGGCATGTGCAATAAATTTGATAAGAGGGAAGCCTAATATCGAACGTGAATTAAAGCAAAATACTCTCCCTTCCCCATCCCCACCAAATTTCATTCATTAGTAGGCCTACATTTAAAATACCATACCATATTATTTTTCTATATTCAATTTTATAAATAAAAATTTGTGACTATTTTCTCCCTTATTTGTCAAGTATCTACATTATATCCTCATTTTGCCTCTTGGGCACAAAGTCTAAAATCTTTACTATCCAGCCCTTTGCAAAAAGTTTGCTGACCCCTGATCTGAGACAAAGGGATCACAAAATCTGTACAAATAGGTTTGTGAAAGAACCACATACTCTTCATGGGGGCTCACATCTCTCTGTACATTATTTGGAGAAACTAAGGTATCCTATTCAAAAAGAATCAGTTGTGTTTTAAATTAGAACAGGTATTTTAGCCCCGTAATGAGGGGATAACTCTGTTGGTGGATTTCATGCTCTCTCTGGGGAATTCTGGAAAAGAACAGAGAAGTGACAGTAGTGATTGCTTCCGATTTGCAACTCTAAAAGTATATTCTTAAATCTATCTGTTGGAAATCCTCACTAAAAAAGATTCCTAAAGAAATAAAATAAAAATCAGCTGCCTATTGTAATATTCAAAATTGCTCTGGAACTGATCTGGATTTTGATGTAGCTACTGGCTAGATTCCTCCTGAAATGCTTATCTATATTTAAAATATTTCTTTGAAAAATATGCATTCTCATTTTATTTTAAAATTGTGTATATAAAAAAAAGCATACTAAATATATTTTGAAATCAAGCAAAATAATTGCTGATAAAATATGGGTCACATAGAACAGCTCTCAAACATGGATTAATAACTTTCATAACTGGTGAGGAAGAGATAAATTCAGGATCTCTTTCTTTTTTTTTTCTTTTCAGACAGAGTCTCACCGTTAGCCTGAGTTAGCATCCAGTGGTGTCATCCTATCTCCCTGCAACTTCAAACTCCTGGCCTCAAGTGATCCTGTTGCCTAGACTCCCCCTAAGTAGATGGGACTATAGGTGTGTACCACTGTGCCTGGCTAATTTTTACTTTTTTTTTTGTAGAGACAGGGGTCTGTGTTGCTCAGCTTAGTTTCAGAACTCCTAATCTAAAGCAATCCTCCTACCTCAGCCTCCCAAAGTGCTAGGTTTATAGGCATGAGCCACTGTGCCCAGCCAGCAGTATCTATTTCAATTGACTTATATAAACAAAACAACCAGATTATGTGGTTTCTCACATACTATAAAATTAATCTAAAATTTTTTAAAGGATTACATTTCAATGTATAGAATGATCTTCATTTCAGGAAAATGAAACTGAATTTAAGAGAATATTTATTCAAGTTAATTTAAAAAATGAGCTTTTGTGAGGAAAAATGATTAAACGATATTTTCTTAACTACTTATTGAAGTTTAAATCAATTTCATCTAGAGTAGACACTAAATCATATAGAGGAGGTAAAACTCAATTATTCCTATATCCGGTTTGTAAATTATTCACAGCCTGATATCATCAAGTACTACACCAAACAGAAGGAACCCCAAAAGTCTGCAAAACCACAGCAATTCACTCACCCTCTCACAGACTAAATTTTTAGATATCTGGCAAGTTTCTAAGTACCCATAACAAATTTAAATTTAAAAACTTAGGGTGACACCTGTGGCTCAAAGGAGTCCGTTGCCCACCCTATATACTGGAGGTGGCAGGTTCAAACCTAGCCCCAGCCAAAAAAAAAAACCTGTAAATTTAAAAACCCCAAACATCAAAAACTCTTAACTGCTTTATGAGAAATATTTTTGCAAAATCAAAACGTACAACTTAAAAGATAAAGGTGTCTATGGGAGCATCATTTAATAAAGCTGGATCCTGGTTTTTATCATCTGGTAAAATAAGAACATTAATAAGCCCTTCACATGGCTTTTGAAATTTTTCTACAATGAAATTCACTGTTAAATATATACATAGATTTACACACACACATGTGTGTGTTATATGTAAAAATCAAAAATGATTAAATGCAAAAGTTTTCTGGAATTATAAAAGTACTACATAAACACTGAGTATTATTTTATAAACTCCTAGAAATGATCCCTAGAAAAGATGAAGCAAATGATTTGCTTTAACCAAATAAGACTGAAGTAAACACCTGTTTGTACCAGCTACTTTAAAATACCATGAAAGAGCTCTAGAAAGTCAATTTAGACATGAGCAGTGACATGTCATTTGGTTTGTTTTACTAAGTATTTTCAAAATAGGAATAGCATTCAACTTTCACTGTGTCCAGTTCTCTTACATATTTCAACAAGCTCCATTCTACCAGGTTAGCTTTGCTGTTAATTAAGCTTTCCCATGTCCCCCTCATTCTCTCCTCATTCAGCCTTCTTTAATGACCTGCCTCTCCTATTGCTTTTATTGTACCCTGTGAAATCACCAGTCTGTTAGTGTGGAAAGTTCATTTACTCTAAATCTAACCATTTCATCTTCTCCTACTCCTTATTTCCTATTTTCTTCTGCAATCTCACATCCCTCTTAAAATAACACATCCCTTCTCTCTCCCTTCTAACATCTCATACTCTTTGAACTTTCTCAAGCCTTACGGAATTAAAGTAAAAAGGAGACCGGTCTTCTTTTTTTTTTTTTTTTTTGAGACAGAGTCTTACTATGTCACCGTCGTTAGAATGCCATGACATCACAGCTCATAGCAATCTCAAACTCTTGGGCTCAAGCGATTCTCTTGCCTCAGCCTCCCAAGTAGCTGGGACTACAGGTACTCGCCACAACACCCAGCTATTTTTTGTTGCAGTTGTCATTGTTGCTTAGCTGGCCCCAGCCAGGTTAGAACCAACTTAGGTGTATGTGGCTGGCGCCATAATCACTGTGCTATGGGTGCTGAGCCAGGAGGCTGGTCTTTTCTTTGATTCTACAGCTTCCAATAAGCTACTGACTTCATTTGCATCTAATAACTGAAGTCCATTTCATCTCTTACCTTTTTCAAATTGTGGTCATGCTAGATTCATCTGGGTCATTTCTTCCTTTCTACCCTCCAGTGCCATTATTTTTATAACTTGCTAAACTTTCCACTGTTACCTATAGACTTTCTTGCTACCTGAATGAATTAATCAGTAATGCCTCTTTGTAGAATCACCTTTTATTAAGACACAATTTAACTGTCATCTATTCAGAGAAGTTTCCCCCTTATCTTTGCAGCTAAAAAAGATCTCTTCTTCCAATGACTAACTTTAACATTTCAATAATATTACTCACAATCTAATATATTGCATGCTATTCTGTATTACAGTTGTTCCTAATCTTATTTCTCCCACTACCCTGCAAAGTCCTTTAGCAGAAAGATTGTGCTTTATTCATTATGGGGTTTGTAAGTAATAGAGCTCAATTTGTCCAAAGAAAAAACAAATCTATAGTTGGAGATAAAATGGAAAACCTGATCTAGATACTTTATAAAACAGTTAATTTTTTTTTTTTTTTTGAGACAGAGTCTCACTATGTCACCTTCAGTAGAGTGCCATAGTGTCACAGCTCACAGCAACCTCAAACTCTTGGGCTCAAGCAATTCTCTTGCCTCAGCCTCCCAAGTAGCTGAAACTACAGGCACACCATAACACCCCACTATTTTTTGTTGTTGTTGTTGTAGTTGTCATTGTTGTTTGGCAGGCCCAGGCAGGGTTCGAACCCGCCAGCCCCGGTGTATGTGGCCGGCGCCAGCTTTAAATTCTTATCCTCAAATATGTTTAGGCTTCCCAAGTCAGAATAGAAAAGAACTATTTATGGTAGTTCAAAAGGATGTTACTACCTTTTTGGGAACAAAAAATATTAAAGATAGCATGTTTAAAAATGATAATGCTTTAAGACCTTCCATACTTTCTCAGTTAAACGTATACTGCACATTCTTTAGGATCTCTTAAAGATAGTCATCTATCTCAAAAGACTTCCAGAGACGAAAAAATACTTACCATGACAGACTATTTCACACTTGAAAAAACAGAATCACACATAAATTTCCTTTACTTCTGAATAAAAACCTACCATGATAAATTTCCACCCCTGGAGATAAACAAAGCATAACCTTACATTTTAAAAGGATATCCTAAAAAAACTACTCTATATGTATCAATGACATGGTAACTGGTTATCAGGACCATTTCCTCTTATTACCTATAAAACATAAATAACTTATCAACGAAGTAAATACTGTTAGGTCTATCGATAACCAACTTGGAAGGACATCTCAGAATTTTGTACAAATACCGACATATTCATATAGACAAATATTTTAAGTTGCACATGAATTTTATGGACACCCCATATATATATAAAATTGTTATCATAGCAATACATTATATATTGATACATTTCTAAAAGATATTAAAATGTTAAATGGTATTCATTCTTGACTTCAAAGTCCTTCTTAAAATGTTATACTCAACCATTTTTGTTGAGAATTCACATTATCAGTTTGCTTTTCAGTTTTTTCTATTCTAGCCCCAAAATGGAAAAGTAGCAGGTTTTTTCTCACTCTTTCTTAGTAAGTTATCAGGTATACTGTTATAACTTGATCAAGGACTATAGAAAAATCTTCCATATGTGCCCTGAAATTATTAGAAGCTTGTACACTCAATGAATTATAAAATTTAAAAAATGTGTCATATGGTTGAGTGCCCTGGACGTTGGGGAATGTGAGCAAACAAGAGGGAATCAGATATGTATAAATGGAGGCAGAAAGGCACTGGGGCACCCATGTTCTCCCCCAGAGACCACCAGTTTCAATCCACTACATTACCATAGAGCTGAGTGATCAGCAAGGGGAGTATGTCCCCCAGTGGGCACAGCATACTCAGAAAGAACCACTGCACAAAAAATTTCTCTAACATTCCTCCACATAAAAATTCATTAGGTTAGTAAGCGATCTAGTTGAAGCAGCAAATATCTTGGGAGAAGGGGCGTGGCAAGCCCGTTAATGCCATTCAGACTTTGTCTTGAGTTATACTAACCACCTTTCCTAGAGTCTTATTAAAGTCTACAGATAGGAAAAAGTCACTTAATAAAGGCAACACCTACCAGCAACATATTGATAATAGAGATATGGGTTCCAATATAGTCTCTGGCACCTAATATACATTTTCTTGGGCAAATTATTTAATTTTGTGATCTCTGATCAATCTCACAGCATGGGTATAACAATTACAAGTGAGAAAGTCATTCAATAAACTCTTGCCTCTGGCCTAAGAAGGACAGTTGTCCTCTGCAAACTTGAGAGAGAGTGAGGCACACTGAGTAGAAGGAGAAAGGGGAGAAGGTGCGATGGCAGAGGACCAGGGAGAGCCAGAAAAACCCCTGAGATCCTGAGATTATCAGAAGACACACAAGGAGCAGTTTAAGGAAGAAGCAGAGGAAGGGAAGACGATGAAAGTGTTCTAATTATGTGACAAGTGGCAGTACATAAATTAAATACTGATAACATGTAAGCCTGCACATATTTCATGGTAAAATGCCAATGTATGTAATTATGGGATTTACCTACAAATCCTGCCCACTGCCAAATAGGTTTTCTTTTTATTATGAGGATATAGTTTAATGAAAACATTATGCCAACCTTTGAGTTAAAAGCCAAGTTTTTGGGTCTTTGTTAGTCTGGTTAATCTTATAGAGACTTTTACATTAAAAAGAAAGTTTTCACATATTGCTTACTAGCCTTATGCACATTTGAAAATCAACTGTTACGTTAAACATTTAATAAAATTTATTAACAGCAATATCAGTAACAAAACAGGCTAGCATGCTAACAAATGAGTTTTATTGTTGCTATCCTCTCTACCATACTCAGGATAATTAAAAGTTAATCTCATTAAATTTAACTTTTATTTGCCCAACGGTTCTCCGTCTTAACCTTAACCATAACATGTATTTTAAAAACAAAAGCAACATCTGAACTTTTGCCTTCTCCTTTAACGAGTGAAAATGAATTCAAAGCCAACTTCATCTCTTATATTTTAAAACTTAAAGTTTAAAGCTTATTAACAGTGATTGTGATTCCTGTAGGAAACTACACAGATATACACTGGAATCGAGATACAATAGTCCATTTAGCCCAGAATCCAGATCATGCAGTTCCTTCCTAAAAATAAATTCAGGACAATTTATTTGCCCAAAGGAAATCTCACCATTGTGGTACTACAGGATGAATCTTCCATGTGGCTATATTAAGTCATGACTCTATCTTGACGTTTTAAAAACTCTTTAGGAAGAATTGTAACTCACAACTGTAGGTCTTATTTTTATTTCTGAGAAATCTGTGCTAAAGTTTCTTACAGAATAAAGTTTCTTATACTTTAGAAACTTTCTATACTATAGATTTTATAATATCTACTATAACTAAATTTATCTACCAGTTCTTACCCTTCTACAGTAATAAATTTACTGAAAACAATGCTTTTATCATTGCTATTCCTGAAGGCTTATAAAAACTCCAACCAAAGTAAATATAAACTATTTAGTATGATACTCAAGTATTATCTCCTAATATATTATTCTTATTTCTATAGTAACCCATCTGCAATCTTTATAGACTAAACACAAGCCTTCCCCCTTTTACCTTTACTATTCCCTTAACTTTAAATAGAATTCCCATTTCAAAACAAGGAATATTCTTCAAGATTTAGGTCAAATTCATCCATCCATTTAACATGTTAAGCCATTACTACATACCAAGGAAAGTTCTAGATCTTGGAGGCACAATGGCAAACACATGGTTGTTGCCCTCAAAGTGTCCCAGGCAGGGGGTGAAGACTTCCCTAATTATTTCCATTGAAAATGCACTTCCTTTCTCAGTGTTTAAAACTTTTTTTTTTTTTTAAGAGGAACCTCCAGCTGTCCCCCTGGGTAGAGTGCTGTGGCATCACAGCTCATAGCAACCTCCAACTCCTGGGCTCAAGCGAGTCTCCTGCCTCAGCCTCCCAAGTAGCTGGGACCACAGGCACCTGCCACAAAGCCCGGCTATTTTTTGGTTGCAGCCGTCATTATTGTTTGGCGGGCCCAGGCTGGATTCAAAACGCCACCTTAGGTGTACATGGCTGGCACCTTAGCCACTTGAGCCACAGGCGCCAAGCTGTGTTTAAAACTCTTAAGTGGTTATATTATCTCATAATAGATAGTTATGTGTGTGTGCAGCATGTATCCTTAAAATTAGAACTTTGGTTTCTCAAAGGTAGAAGCCATGTTTATTTTTCTTCTTAAAAACTTTTTATATACAAAATTATTTTCTTAATTGGAATGTTGGTGGGAAAAGTTAAGAGTGTACACATATTCTGTATCAAGATAAAAATGTTCTCATCCCTTGGAAAAAGTACTTACAATCTATTTAAGGATTAAAATGTGTCTGTTAGTCATAAATTAGCTATAAGAGACATAAAGTGAAGGCTAATTTTTGATAAACAGAATGGAAAAGGCTTATCAAGAAGCAAAGAGAAAGGGTTGAAGTAGAGAAGAAAAAATTTAAATTAAAAACATAAAATGTGAAATTTTTTTTCATTTCTAAAGGAGGGAAGGGGATAGTTCTTAGAGGTAAGTAGCTGAAATACAGCCTTTTAGTTTAAAACAATTTAAAAATACAGACATTTTTGAGGACTCTGAATAAGAAAAGTAACTAACCTCATTAATTCCTCCACTTTATCATCTACATCTAGGTCCTCTTCTGAGGCTTCAAAACTGTATGACCTCTGACCCATGCTGTTTGCATGGTAGCGGGTTGGTGACATCTTTCCATTGGAAGTGGACAACCTCTCATTATTCTCTCTCCCATTCTGATTGGTAGTGCAAGGCTGTGGCGAGGTATCGTAACTGTTACTAGGTGATGGGGACATTCCCGAATGCTGGGTCTGTGTGGAAGCTGTAGCTGTAGAGGAAGATGCTGGGACATTGTTGGTACTGTTCCCATATGAACTTCCTCCATAGCTGGACCTTCTTCCAAATTTGTCACTATGCTCTTGATCAAGACGGTCCAAAGTTTCCAAGGCATGGAGGATTTCATGTTTAGTCATTCCAGTACGCCGGAGGCGCTGAAGCAGATCTATCTGCTCTATGGTAAATCTGGGTTCATCTGTATAGTGAGACATGGTTTCCAGCAAACTAAAAAAGAGAAGAGAAAAAAGAATTGGAAGTCTCTTTATTGATAGTTTACCAAATAACACAGTAGAGAGAATGCTCAGTAGAAGGTGCAATATTTCTACATCAACTTTTCTTACTGCAAATAAAAAGCTACGTCCTATGCCAGAAGGTTTCTGCCAAGGCAAATGGACTGGTATAGACGTGAGTTTATTAGCAGGTTTAATATGTGTTAGATAAAAGGTGCAACATAAAACCAAATGTCATGTGGTATATAATTTACATTTTCCTCAATTTTGGTAAATATTAGAAATAACACTTTAGTTATGTCAGCAGTACCAAAACAACAGGTTAGGTACATACAGTGCATTAAGCTCAGGCTATGTGATAACTTGTGTTTTCTTTTCTATCTCAATACTGATATACTCTATATTAAAATACTGATAAAAAATGACTGAAAAAATAGTTTATATTATACTATTTTACCAAATATCAGCAACACTGACCTTGGAACTCTGTAACTTCATTTAGTGAAAACAAATGATCTGCTAAGCTAAGCCCAAGGACATGCTAATAACCAGCACAAATACGTAAGTGGAAATGCAAGAGAGATACATAAAAAAAGTTAGTAAGCACTATTTCATCCACTATTTAGCAATTTCATGAGTTTTTCATCTTTGTAATGCATTCTCTCTATTTAATAGCTACCCTGAGAAATGGATCTTTCGTGGTTGCAGCCAAACTGAGTTATTCATTTATCTGAGGAAATTGCTCTACAACATGTTTTCTTTAACTAGCACAAGATACCATAGCACACAAGAAAATGGAGTCTTAGAGTGAATAACGATACTAACTTTAAGAGAGGTGTCAAATACCATAGAAATTCTCACCACCTGTCTTCCTTTTCAACATTTTTTAAAGTGGGAATTTCTTTTAATTTTTATTGTTCTAGTGCCATATATGACGCATGGAAAGCAATAGGGTCTCAGTAAGTGTCTACTGATGGAAACAGATACCAAGGATCTTCTCATCCTCTACAAATAAATGTCTACTCTGGCCCAGTCTCTCTAAGTTACTGGAGATCCCACTGCTTCGTCATCTCTCTATCCAGGGGTCCTCAAACTTTTTAAACTGGGGGCCAGTTCACTGTCCCTCAGACCACTGGAGGGCTGGACTGCGGGCCCCGGGACGAGTCAGCTGCTAAGCAGGACAGGCAGCGGTGGCAAAAACACCTGGCAGGCCAGATAAATGTCCTAGGGGGGCCACATGTGGCCCACGGGCCATAGTTTGAGGTCACCTGCTCTATACTAAAAATTTGTTAACAGTCACTTCTAGACAGTAATTGGGTAAGAGATTCATGTAATCTCACCTAATCCTCACAGTAGCCCTCTGTAGTCTGTACAATATTATTTAATTTATTCTATTTCATTTTATATTGGTACATTGTTGAGGAAACTAAGGCTCAGGATAGGATAGTTTTGTACCTTGCAAAAAGTCTAAGTAAGAAGTAGAAAAAACATTCAAGCCTAGACCTTACTGAGTCCAAAAGCATACATCATTCTCCTTTCTGATATTTTGCAGGATTTACTGGAATCATAGGATTTGGGACATAGGCTGTTGTGTTCCTTTAAGTTTCCAGTTAAAACCATTTAGATAAAACCATTCTAATTACTGACAGATTAGGGGTCCTAGTAATAGCTTTTTACATTTAAAATCCTTGCCCCATCTAGAATTTATATTTACTTAAGTGTGAAAGGATTACAGCTTTATTTTATCCTGAATGGATAGCTTTCCATTCAATGTTTTATTAAATAATATATCTCTTTCTCCTCTGATCTGAAATGCTGCCTATATAATACACAAAATTCCCATATGAATCTACCTTTGGAGTCTCTATTCTATTCCACTGTTAAGTCTTTCAAATCCTTTTAAAAATAAGGTAGTTTGGCCAGGCCTCATGGCTCATGCCTGTAATCCTAGCACCTTGGGAGTTTGGTGTCCAGAAATTAAAGATCTAATTTTCCTAAAAACAATTTTGGTTACAGCGCCAGCCACATACAACAAGGGTGGTGGGCTCGAACCCGACCCAGGCGCACTAAACAACTGCAACAAAAACATAGCCAGGCATTGTGGCAGGCACCTGTAGTCCTAGCTACTTGGGAGGCTGAGGCAAAAGAATCGCTTAAGCCCAAGAGTTGGAGGTTGCTGTGACGCCACAGCACTTTACCCAGGGCAATATAGTGAGACTCTGTCTCACAAATAAACAAATAAATAAAATAAGAAAGAAAAAAAATTAAAACTTAGCTGGGTATGGTGGGTACCTGTAGTCCTAGCTACTTAGGAAGCTGCAGCAGAAGATCACTTGAGCCTCGAAGTTTGAGGCTGCAGTGAGCTATGATCATGCTACCGCACTCTAGCCTGGGCAATGGAGTGAGATTTTGTTTCTTAAAAAAAAAAAAAAAGAAGGCTGGGGCAAGGCACAGTGGCTCATAATTGTAATCCCAGCAGCACTTGGGAGGCCGAGGGCAGGTGGATTGCCTGAGCTCCTAGGTTTGAGATAAGCCTGAGCCAGAGTGAGAGCTCATCTTTAAAAATAGCCAGGAGTTGTGGCAAGCACTTGTGGTCCCAGCTACTTGGGAGGCTGAGGCAAAAGAATCACTGAAGCCCAGGAGTTTGACGTTGCCATGAGCTATGACACCACAGCACTCAGCAAGGGTAACAAAGTGAGACTCTGTCTCAAAAAAAAAAAAAAAAAAAAAACTGGCAGAAGTGGTGCCTGTGGCTCAAAGGAGTAGGGAGCCAGCCCCATATACAGGAGGTGGTGGGTTCAAACCTGGCCCTGGCCAAAAACAAACCAAAAAACTGGCAGAAATATAGAATTTTTGAGTGAAATATCCTTAGTTTTTAAAACAGGCTTATTAAAAATAAAAACAAACACATATATTCTATGAGCCCATACTTGTACCTATAGGCCACAATATCTGCCCTACACCTATACATTAATTATGGCATGCTTTCTTCCAGTACTCATTTATGACAAGCTATCTATCATAAAAGAAAGACCTGTTTACATGATTATATTTTTTATTGATTTCCTAAGTTCCCTCCATAATATTTTATGAAATTTAAATGAAAAATTTTAAGCATACATAAAAGTTCCAATAAATTTACATTAAAAATCCAGATTCTAGTATTGATATTTGCATTTATAAATGTTACATTACAATTAAGTTCTCAAACTCATCCTAGAAAAAGTACAGCATACCTACTTCATTGCTGAGTGTCACCATACTCACCTTCAAGGTACTCCCCTTAGGAAGCTATGCACTAACACCAGCCCCTAACCCACTCTTTAAAGCAATTCTGGAACTCTTTTTCTGGAATGGCTATCAGAGCTGTCATTGTACGAGGTCTGACAATTAAGTTCATAAACTCTTCTTAGAAAAAGCGCCTTGAAGAGTGGACTAGGTGCTGGTGTCAATGCATAGCTTCCCAACGGGAGAACTTCCAAGGGGACCACAGTGCTATCAGCAATGAAGCATGTAACACTTTTTCTACTATGAGTTTATGAACTTAATTGTCTGACCTCGCATCCAACTTATCCCTTTTATCCATCCATTTTTTGATGGATCTCAAAATCAGTAACAGATACTTATACACTTCTCCATAAATTAACTAGAGCTCAGCATTTGTTCAGATAATTTTTTTACACTATAACATTTACATGAAAGAACACATACAAATCTTACGTATACCATTCTATGAGTTTTAAAAAATACAGAGATCCATGAAACTCAAATCTGTATAAAAATATAGAGTTATTACCATTACCCCAGTTCCCTCAGGCATCTTCCCAGTCAATTCCTATCTTCTTCCCGAGAGGGAGCCACTGCTCAGAGTTTTTCCCCCACCACAGATTAGTTTTTGTCCTTTCCAGAACGTCATATGTTCTCTCTATTTACTGATTTGTGTAAAATTTCTTTCACTGAACATAAAGTTTTTGAGAATCATCTACAGTGTTGTGTCTATCGGCAGTGTGTCCTATTCATTGCTGAGTAGGAAATCATTGCAGGACTAGACAGGTCCCTTTATCTATTTCACCTATGGACACTTGGGCTGCTTCTAATCATTACCTATGAGGTATTCTACATCTTTGGTTGAGGCTGGGTGCACTGGCTCACACGGGTAATCCTAGGAATCTGAGAGGTGGACGTGGGTGGATAGCTTGAGCTCAGGAGTATGAGACCAGCCTGAGCAAGAATGAGACTCTATCTCTACCAACAATAGAAAAAAACTAGCTACTTAGGAGGCTGAGGCAGGAGAGTCCCTTGAGCCCAAGAGTTTGAGGTTGCTGTGAGGTGTGATGATGCCACAGCATTCTACCCAGGAAGACAGAGGCAGACTCTTCTTTCACACACACACACAAAAGTTCTCTTATCAGAACTTCGTAACTGTCCTCTAATTTTCTTGTTAGCTTCTTCCTTATGATATATCATCACCTGGGTGAGAAAGAAAATCTTTATTTTATCTTCATTTTTTGAGACAGAGTCTCACTCTGTCACCCTGGATAGAGTGCCATGGCATCACCTTAGCTCACAGCAACCTCAAATCTTTGGGCTCAAGAGATCCTTCTGCCTCAGCCTTCTGAGTACCTGGAATTACGGTGCCAGCCACAATGCCCAGCTAGTTTTTCTATTTTTACTAGAGATGGAGTCTTGCTCTTGCTCAGGTTGTCTCAAACTCCTGAGTTCAAGCAATCCACCTGCCTCAGCCTCCCAAAGTGCTAGAATTATAGGTGTGAGCCACTGCACCCAGCCTAGAAAGAAAACTTTTAACCAAACTGACTCATCTCCTTTACCACTTAATTTACTGGCTTGGAAAAGTCAGGTTTCTATACTTTATTCTTTTACCTTAAAATGAAGTAGGCCTGCCCAATACCATTTTCAGTTTTCATGCTATCAAAATATTTTAATATAAACCTATCTTTCTTTAGATGTGACTTTAATTGTTTTTTTTTTTAAGAGACAGAGTCTCACTATGTCGCCCTGGATAGACTGCCAAGGCGTCACAGCTTACAGCAGCCTCAAACTCACATGCTTAAGCGATTCTCTTGCCTCAGCCTCCCAAGTAGCTGGGATTACAGGTGCCTACCCCAATGTATGGCTATTGTTTGGTTATTGTTTTTGTTGTCATTGTTGTTTAGCAGGCCTAGGCTGAGTTTGAACCCACCTGCCCCAGCGTGTGTGGCCGGCACTGTAACCACTGAGCTATGGGTGCCGAGCCTAAGTATTATTTATTATATGGGCAAAAAAAAAATCATGATATTTCCCATCCCAGTCATGTCAGAGGAGGTAGTTAACTGTATATAATTCTTCAAACTTCTCCCTGTATATTAGCATAAAACAAAAGAAAATGATATGAATGTCACCTATTATTGAAAAGTATCCCCACTAACATTTGCATTAGAACTGTCTGTCAGGGCAGTACCTATAGCTCAGCAGCTACGGCACTGGCCACATACACCAAGGCAGGAGGGTTGGAACCCAGCCTAGGTCTGCTAAACAAGATAACTGGGGCAACATGAGACTCTGTCTCAAAAAATGAAAATAAAAATACCGAAATAATCTATTATTTCATGTCATTTCAGATTCACAGACTATTGGAAACCACTTTTATTTTAAAAATCATAAAAACAGAAACAACAGGCACCTATCATTTTGTCTGCTTAGAACGTTTCATTGCTTCCAAGCACATATCCTGGGGCCACTCAGAATAATCCACCTTCTGGCAAATGAGGTGGCCACACAAAGAAGGCAAGCCTTGTTTTCCTCAAAATTTTCTCGTTAGACTAGAGGGGAGATGAATAGTCACTATAACTGTTCTCAGTCGGAGGAAGATGTTAGTCTGATTAATTCCTCACCACAGGGAAGCAGCTAGTCTAGCAAATCAAGTGGACACACCAAGAAATGCAGAGTAGGGCAATGAAGAAAGCTCTGCAACGCTTACTCCTGAGCCTCCGGTGCATCCCTGCTCTCTCTGCTGTTTTGTTATACGAGAGAATACACTTCCCTTTATGTTTCACCCTGTTCAAATCAGACGTCTATGCCCTGAACCTGAAGAGGCCCCACCTGCAAAGACATAACCTCAAGCAAAAAAAAAAAAAAAAAATCCACAATTACTAGAATAGGATGCATGATTAAAATAGAGCAGAATGATAAGGTCATAGCAAGCAGTATCAAATCATGCATGTGACACTGAAGATTCGATATTTTACTTAGAAAATGCTGAAATTAGAAGCTTTCTTGGATATTGAGAGTAATGTACCAATGTGTGTTAACATAAACAAAAGCATACATTCTGGCATTTCCAAATTTTATTTCTCATAATTTACCTAGTTTAAGCACATAATCTTGAAATTATGGCAGTAAATGACCTACAAAGGTCATCTCAGTCCATGATACCAGCAATTCTTTTACAACAGGAAAAGATAACCTGTAAGAATTGAATTAATTTTCTTATGCACAAGGATTGTTCACAGGATAAGGAACATCTTTCACTTTAAATTACTAATCTGAATGCAGACTCAGGCCAACAATAATTGAAAATGATGTGAGAAGAATTTCAACACTTCAGTAACACAGACAATGTTTAAGGCATAAAAGAAGAAGAATTAAATTCAGAAATTATGGCTCAGTTCATAAAACGATGTTCTAAGAAAAGACCATACCATGACGCTGTAATAACAACACATTTCACAGTAAATTTTATCTTTACTTGAGTATGTACCCACACCCTTCTTGGATAAGCACATGGCCCAAAATATACTTTCATAAACTAAAGTCCACCAAACATATAAAGCAAAGAAGGTTAAAGCACTCACAAATTATTAATCTAGAATTTATGTGGGCAAAAGCCATTCCTACTTTACTTGCAAAGCATCAATAGTATTTTAGTAAGATTTTACTGAATAACAAAGCTTTATCTTCAGCTCTATTCTGCTTTTCAAAAATCTTTTCATCTAGGATGACTAGGCAAAATAGGTTAGTTTTGTTTTACACATGTGGTATTTACTGCATGATGATTTAATACATTCTAGAATCAATCATAATATTATTCATCAAAGAGTGAATGACCTCTCCTGGGGCCCCCTGAGCTTCCTATCCCCTTGAAAATGTTACTTCATACCTTATTGGTCCCTATATGTGAGGTTTTATCTCACAATAACTCCAACTATTAGACTTCAAAATACACATAAACTCAAGAGTTGGGCAGACGCTTTGGGAACGTAGGCTGTGGCAGAACTATTCTGTCTGCCGCTTCTCCGAAGACAGCTCAGGCGACAACAGGACTCGCAGCTTTGAAGCTTGGCAGGCAAGCACTGGTACCACCCTCTAGATAGCTTCTCCCTAGAACTGCTTATATAAGGGTATACTTCAATCTTTAATTGGCCTTTATTTTCCACAGAGGCTTCCTTCCATCATCAAGCAACTAGATGTCAGTAATTTTGGAATATACTCATTATGTGGTTAATGTACCTCATCTATCAAGTGTACTCCCTGTAAAGTTTGTCCATGTTATCCTTCCCCCCTTTAATTATAGCAAACCCCCAAATAAATTCTTTTTGTGGCAGTGCCCATAGCTCAGTGAATAGGATGCCGGCCACATACAGCGTGGCTGGCAGTTTGAGCCCGGCCTGGGCCAGCTAAAACAGCAATGACAACAGTAACAACAACAACAAAAATAGTTGGCCGTTGTGGTGGGCCCCTATAGTCACAGGTACTTGAGAGGCTGAAGCAAAACCTAGGAGTTTGAGGTTGCTGTGAGCTGTGATGCTACGGCACTCTATCCAGGGTGACAGCTTGAGTATCTTTCTCAAAAAAAAAAAAAAAATTCTTTTTGTACAGGAATAAAGCCTGTAATTCATGAAATTAACAGTTTGATCATCTCTTTATTTTCATCACATGCAACAAAATCTAAGTAAAAACATGGGTTTATAGAGGGAGATAGAAATCAGGAGTGGGATCAGAGAATTGAAGACTATACAAAATCAATTTGGTTAATGTTTATTAAATGCCTACTATATGACACACGCTGCTGAGGCATAGAGGACAGAACAAGAACCAAATCAGGCAAAAATTCCTGGCTTCATGAAGCTGGCATTCTAAAGGCTATTGAGAATATCTATTAGCAAATAAACTGTTTAAGAAAGGAAAAAAAAGAGAAACTAGGGGCGGCACCTGTGGCTCAAAAGGAGTAGAGCGCTAGCCCCATATACCACAGGTGGCAGGTTCAAATCCGGCCCTGGCCAAAAACTACAAAAAAAAATAAAAAGAGAGAAAGAAACTAAGCCTCCCAAAGGGCATGCCTACTTAATGGAAACTCAGGCTACCGTTCATATCTTCTGAGCCTATTTCAGAAACTGTTTTTGTGTGTGGAGTTTTTGGCTGGGGCTGGGTTTGAGCCCACCACCTCCTGCATATGGGGCCAGCGCCCTACTCCCTTAAGCCACAGGCGCCCCCCCCATTTCAGAAACTTTTTACTGTATCACGGAATCAATGGAGGAAGGGACTTCATGAAAAACTTAAATAATAAGAAAAGCCTATCTCAATGTCTTCTTATTGGATTATAGAACTGTCAACCAAAACAAAAGATATTTAAGTAAAACTTAGGCTCCACCAAATTTTAGAAAATACTGGCTCGGCGCCTATAGCTCAACCGGCTAAGGTGCTAGCCATGTACACCTAAGGTGGCGGGTTCAAATCCCCAGCCCGGACCCGCCAAACAACAATGACGGCTGCAACCAAAAAATAGCCGGGCGTTGTGGCGGGCGCCTGTGGTCCCAGCTACTTGGGAGGTGG